TTTTGGGGCCCGTTAAGTGGAATAGTACCAAAAAATGCTTGTGTACTAATCTACGTTATTAAGGGCCATGTGAAGCTCTCCGATTTCGGTCTGTGCACTGGCTTGAAGAAAATCCACCGCACTGAGCACTACAGGTGATATCTAATCTTATACTTTGTTGTGGGCATTTAACTTGGTCTTAGGAACTGGCCTTCGCAACTTCCACCTGATTTTGTATCGAAACCCGTCGAATCTAAACGCAAGGCTGAGACTTGGAAAAAGAACCGCAGAGCTTACGTATGTTAAATCGTTCTCAGATCTATCAGTGCCATTCGCTGTCTTTCTACGTTTACCTCCTGAAGCTTTAGGCTTACTCTACCGTTGGCACTCCTGACTACATCGCACCCGAAGTGTTTCAGCCGAATGGGTACACGAAAAGCTGCGATTGGTGGAGCCTTGGCGTGATCCTTTACGAGATGCTCATTGGTGTGACATTTACTGTCATTGTAAACTATATTTCACTGTCACATATCTAGGTTATCCCCCATTCTGCTCTGAAACGCCGCAGGAAACGTATAGGAAGGTTGTAAACTGGCAACAAACTCTGGTATTCCCACCCGAGATGCCCATCAGCGTTGACGCGAAAACGGTGAGTCTTTTGAATTCTATTGTATGGAATGAATAACACTTCATCAAATTCTTCTAGACAATAAAACGTTTCTGTTGCGAGCCTGAGAGACGCATGGGTCATAATGGAGGCCTTGAGGAAATTAAGCAGTGCATCTTCTTTAGAAGAATTGACTGGAACCATATCAGGTGTGGCTCGATGCTGGTCGTTGTTGATGAATTGTATCTATTTGTTTTTGTAAATTAAGGTATATTTTTGGGCATTTCACCTCTGTTAGTATTTGATGCGAATAGGCGAGAGCTTATGTCGAAGTGACTCTTAGATTGAAGCGAGAATCTTTCTGCGTAATGCCATAATGCCGGCTCTCGCATTTTAGATAGTTTCTGAATGGTTTTCAAATTTCGCGATTTCTAGGGAGAGGCCAGCACCAATACGGGTTGAAGTGAAAAGCATTGACGATACTAGCAATTTTGATGACTTCCCGGAGGTGGACATGAGATGGCGTAAGTTTTTCACTTCAGAATTTCACATCAATCTCTCTCGCGTATCCAATCATTTAAAGCTGTCGACACGGCTCCGCAGAAGTTGAAGCCAGAGGAACAGCCCGGTCATCGCGGAGAATTTGTAGACTTCACCTACAAACGCTTCGATGGGCACACGCAGAAAATGCGTTACAGCGAAATGAATAAGGCAAGTTTTTGTTTTTAGTCAGTGTATTTCTGAGAAGGCCAGCGCGCAGTCTCTACCTATTGTCCTAAAATTTACAGAAGAGTTTGTTCATGATATTCAAAGAATCCGTCTAGTGTTTCGTTGCTGTCAGTTTTAACTTAATATTAATCTTTGGCATTGGTACGTGTTCAATTTTATCTTCTAGCAACATGCTCGATCTTAGATTTGAATGTGCTCATATTTTTCACTTTTAGCAATCTCGAACTCACGGTGGTCCCGGTGAGGGCACTCAAACCGCGGTGTAGTACAAGTCTTTCATGGACCCTTCATCTTCGCCTGTGATCTTTCAAATGCCTAATATGCCGTCATCTCTCTTTTCAAGACCTGAACCAACAATTGGTTTTTTGTATATACATGTGTTTATATCAGTGCTAGTAACATTCCTCTGTGATTCATCTTGTTTTTTTCGCTAGGTTTTTGTGTGTTGTCGAAAACTGGGTGCGGGTAATTCCGTACATCAATCAAAGGGTTAGATCTGTGTCCTCTGTCAGAGTTATATATTGTTTGCGGGAAACAAGAGAATATGTGCTGTTTATCGAGATGTGCAGTAAATTGTTTTGCCAATTTACTTAATCTTGATGGTACGTGGGTAACCTGAAGCTATATTCGCCTGAACCTTACTTCACATTTGCTTCGATCTTAGGCGAACTTGGAGGGGTAGGTTGTGGCAGCGAAATAAAGCCTTTGAACTCTGCTTACAAGGGAAGGATACTAGGTCGCAGTGGCGAACCGAAATGCTAATCAATAGATGCGTCGTGATGGACTGATTCCAA